GATCTGAACCCAGAATGACAACTCACACAGCCCAAGCTCTCAGTCTAGTCTATATTGCTTCTGAAACAAACATGAACTTAAAAAGATACTCTTTTTGCTAATGTAAGTGACATAATCATAGACTATTCATGATGAAACTGCTACTGATTCATGACTGAGGAAACTGAGGCCCCTGGAATAAAATGACCAGCTCTACCCTCTGTCACCTTCTTATACATAGAGATAGGACATTCAGGCCAGGGGAGGTGGCTCACACCTGTAATCCCAGCACTCTGGGAGGTCGAGGCTGGAAGATCACTTGAGGTCAGGAGTTTGAGACCAGCCTCATCAAGAGTGAGACCCCCATACCCACTAGCAATAGAAAAAACTTGTGAGTGTGGTGGCAAGCGCCCGTAGTCCCAGCTACTTGGCAGGCTGAGGCAGGAGGATCGCTTGAGCCTGGGAATTTCACGTTGCTATGAGCTAGGCTGACACCATGGCACTCCAGCCCAGGCAACAGAGTGAGACTCTCACAAAAAAAAGAAAAAAAAGAAGAAGAAAGAAAGAAAGAAAGAAAGAAAAAGGACATTCAATCTCCTGACCACTAGCTTTGGGTGTCTCCTTATCACACTATCTAATGAAGCCGATCATTCACAAGATTCATCATTACCTGCTAAAACTCTGACCCTCCCATTATTCATCTGGATGAACACTACTTCAAGGCTTAAAGTATGTTTAAATCACAAAGCACTGATCACCATTACCTACAAATTTTAGCATACCTATAAAATGGTTTTTTTACAATAAAAATAGTGTGTCCAAAGAAGAACATAGAATCCCCAGTGAAAGCAAATGAAAAGCAGATCAAGACACCCTGTTCAATAAAATTATCTATTCCACATGAAAGTATAACATTTTTCTAATACAAGTCAACTCTGAAGTGACAGTTAAGCCAATAATAACCACATATTTTCAGATGTGATTAAATATATTGGATCCATCGGTGTCTTGTGAATTCATGGGGGAAAAGTAAGATAAATATATGGGATTCAATATTCAAAATAAAGACTGCTTTTCTAAAGGACCATTACTTCAAAAGTATTTACCACTGACAATTCCCTCTTCTGTAGAGTCCTTAATTTTAATATTATTAAACTGTGATACTGAAAACAGAGGTTGACATAAGAGCACATTTCAGGAAGCAAATAACTTGAGCCAACCTTAAAACCCTGTCCTCCTCTAGCTAAAAGACACTGTCCTCCTCTAGCTAAAAGACAACAAAGAGGAAAAGTACCAAACATATGAGAAATATATTGGCTGTAAACTGGGCAAAGTGGCTCACACATGTAATCCCAGCACTTTGGGACACTGAGGCAGGAGGATAGGTTTAAGCCAGGAGTTCAGACCAGTATGGGCAACAGCAAGACCCCATTTCTACAAAGTTTAAAAAATTAGCTGGACATGGTCATACGCCTGTAGGCCCAGCTACTCAGGAGACGGAGGCAGAAAGACCACTTGAGTCCAGAAGTTCGAGGATGCAGTGAGCTATGATGCCTCAGCACTCCACTCCAGCCTGGGTGACAGAGCAAGACCCTGTCTCCAAAAACATAGACAGATAGATCGTCTATAGAGTTTTCCTTTGCATGCTTATTGGTAAGACCATGGGAACATTCACACTATTTTTTTTTAATTAGAGGCTCCGCCTCCTCTGGGAAGAATGAACCATTCACATATTTTTATAGAAAAACACTACTCATTTCAAACTAAGTGATGGTTTGCTTGTGTAGGAATGAACTAACCAGAGGTAGGATAGACAAGCATCCTGCCTCTTACTCGATCCTATGACTACTAAACTCCACAAGAAATCAGTGACAACTCAGCATACTCTGTAGCAGCAAGACAGTCTGGACACCACATGTAAGAACAAAGCCTAAGTTAAATAAGTAGGGCTGCACTCTGGTTTTTGTTTTAACTCTAATAGGTAAAACTAATTTTCTTTTACTGCAAACAGAGATAGTATTTTAATACCAAGCTACGCCATACTTTACTCATCTAGTCTAGGTCTTAATTATAAGAAATCTAAAATCAGCATTTTAGGACTAAGGTGCTATGTCCATTTTATTCACTATTTGTGAGGGATGACAAATAAATCTTCCTTAGACTATATAGGAAACATTGGGTGGCCTTAGCTCCAACCATTTGCTTTTAAAGCTAAATAGGGTCAAGCTGGGATACTGCAAATAATAAAAATCTAACTAAAAAAAAAATTAAAATCAACTTCTTCAACTGACACACCTTTACTATGAATTTTTTAAACACTAGATTTAAAAAAAGAAGAAAAGCTTCCTGATGGGTTTTATGTCCACTAGTCTGTTCAAGTTCTGGCAAAAGAACAAAGATGCACTCAAAACTCAGGCAGTGAGAAAGGAAAAGGAGTAGTAATCACATCCTCAATTTCTTATTGCTCCTCCTACTGTATACTCATGGAAAGAAACAATCTTAAGCCTGAAGACCCCTCCAAAATTTTTTTCCCATGAAACAAACATGCCATACCATATTTATTCCAAAATGGAAATCTCCCCTTTCCTTAGACTGTAAGTGAAAACACACATTTAAAAAAATTAGGGGGCCATTCACGCCTATAATCCTAGCACTCTGGGAGGCCAAGGTGGGCGGATTGCTCAAGGTCAGGAGTTCGAAACCAGCCTGAGCAAGAGCGAGACCCCCGTCTCTACTATAAATGAAACAAATTAATTGGCCAACTAATATATATAGAAAAAAAACAGCCAGGCACGATGGCACATGCCTGTAGTCCCAGCCACTCGGGAGGCTGAGGCAGGAGGATCGCTTGAGCCCAGGAGTTTGAGGTTGCTGTGAGCTAGGCTGACGCCACAGCACTCTAGCCCGGGCAACAGAGTGAGACTCTGTCTCAAAAAAAAAAAAAAAAAATTAGGAAATAGTAAAGTCTATCAATTTTCAGCCATATCTAGGAAAGTGTCCCCACTGCTCATGTTGGCAAAACAGTATTTGAAATTGTTTCATACCAGTTAAGATTCCTTTCCAGATTAAAAACAAACACAAAGTAAGAAATTTTGGGGATGTTAATATCAAGACTCAATCAATTGGCAGTAAGATTTATGCAGCAGAGTACTTAGGATGTTTTCCTTTTTAGAATGGTCTCTAGCAAGTTTATGTTTGTGCCTATTACATCAAAAGTGCAAAAACAGTTCAAAATATTACATTTGCTGTTTCAAAGAGTACAACTGCAAAGTAATCAGACTCATTACCAACAATGCAGAGCTAGACATCCATATTTAGATGAATGTCAGAAATCTAATTCCTGTTGTTATCAAATGTGCCCTTTTCCTTAGTCACATCTGACATACTTAAAGCTTTCAAAATTAACGTAACAAAAATGTATCGAAAATCGACCAACTTACTCAAAGATTTGTGCAAGTTGATTTTTAAAAATAGGTGAGAGAAACTTGGTGACAAGCTTTACGTTCCGTGTATTAAAGCAAAGATAGACTTGACCTACAAAATGAAGATAGGGTCAACTGTAACCAAAAAACAGTATGCTTCCCCTGGTGGCCAACCATGGAATGGAGGAGCCATGCATAGAAGAGAAAAAGCCCGATAAGTGACTACCAAAAAAGGAAAATGTGGGGGAAGGGGAAACTATAAAAATACACTAACATGGGTTTAAAACGAATACAATTATGGATGTTAGATTATGTAAATTTAAGAGATTTAAATCAACAAATCAAAATTTAGAAGGTAAATTTAGGAAAAGTCATTTATTTCCAGACTGCCCAAGAACTCACTCAGGACCCCTATGCATTCTCACTTCAAATACATCCAGAGTTTAGTTCCTTAATAACAACTTAAGAGCAACGCCTTTCTCAATGACTACATCCTTGCAATTTTCTGCAGTCTTGTTTCCAAGGAAAAGCATCTGTGCATTTATTTTTCAAATAAACTTGTGTTACAATCTACATAGGGAACCTACAGTTCTAAAACCCTACAACCAGGGAGGACTGTTAACTCCACCTTTACAAGATGCTCTTTTGAATTTTGTTCTTGAAATAAAACCCACGTCCTTTCAAACATTTTCTATACCAAAAACCTTTAAAGACAGTCTTACACGGAGACAGGCTAGAATCTCACGCATTAAAATCTGACGAATTCCTTTGTCTGACTAGATTTTTTTTTTCTTGTACCACTTTAAATTTTCTTCCACACAGAGCAGCAGCAGCAAGGGAAGTAAATGTTCCATTCTAGGGTGTAGGGATCTCTTGTAGGTGGAAATCATTTGTTAGGCTAAAGGTTCTGATGGTTCTACTCTTTCACAATCTCTTCCTCAAAAAAAAAAAAAAAAAGGAAATGCCCACATTTACAAAATAGGTCCTAAAATCAAACTGCCACACAGCAGCCTCTCTTCCCCAGGCAGGCACCCTCTGTAAAGCACACTTCTTTTATTAACTGGTTCTGGGGGTCGTTATGCTTCTTGCCCTCAGGATGGGAGCGGAGTCTGGAGCCAGCAAGAGCCCAGGCTGGACGAGGGACAGGCATGCGGGCAACACTGGGAAAGGGTGCTGAGAAAGGGGTTTGGGGACGTCCTACGTCCGGGGCGCTCGCAGGACGCTAACTCTCCGGCACTGCCACCTCGACTCCTGGCCGAGGCGCAGCTCACCTGGACGCCGGGACCCCCCAACGCCCCCAAGCCAGGTAAGGCGCCGCCCCCATTCCTCGGAGGCGCGGGGGGCAGCTGCGCCGGCCCGACCGGGGCGACCTGGGCCTCCCCCGCGTGCACAGGCACGTTTGCAGAACACGCGTGTGCGTGTTCCTCCTCGCTCTCGCCCTGCTGCTCTCCCCGCGGGCGGCGGGGCCAACACACACACAAAAAGAAAGTTGCCGACGGGCTGCCGCCCCTCGGGCTCGCCGGGGTCTGGGGCCCAGCTCCTCCCCTCCGCCGGCCGGCGAGGGGCTCGGCGCGCGGCCCGGCCCGGGGGGCTACTCACCCGGGTCGAAGTCGGGCACCACCGCCTGGTACTGGGGTCCGACCCTCATGCCGCCGCCACCTGCGGGGGAAGCAGAGCACGGCGGTCAGCGGGGCCGGGGGCGCGGGGCGCGGGGGCCGCGGGGGCCGCGGGGCCCGGGGCGGCTGCCACCTACCGTGCTCCTCGTCGCTGGACGAGCCCGAGCTGCCTTCCTCCCAGGAGTTGCTGCTGCTGTTGCCATTGGGCGCCGCCGCCGCCAAACTTTTATTCTGGCCATTATTGGGGGCGGCGGCCGAGGCGGAGGCGGCGACGGCCGGGGCGGAGGCGACGGCGGCCGGGGCGGAGGCGGCCGAGCCGGTGGCTGCCGAGCCGGCGGCGGCTGAGGCAGCCGAGGCGGCCGCGTTGTTCCTCCCTCTCCGCTTCCCTGAGACCTCGGGGCCCTTCTCCACCATGGCCGGCATCGGCGGGGGCCGGGGCCGGGCGAAAGTGGCGGGGACCCGCGGCTCCTGAGGAGGGGTCGCCGGGCCGGGGGGAGGGGGCGCGGGTGGGCGCGGGGCCGGCGGGCGCGGCGGGAGCCCACGCGCACGAGTTGGCGCTGGGGGAGGCCCAGGCGGGCGGAGCGCGGAGCCGCTTCAAGCCCCCAGCGCCGAGCCCAGCGCAACTTTCGCTCTCATCGCCTCCCGCACTTCACTGGCACCAACTACTCCGGGAGCAGCGAGCGGGGAGGGCGGGGGGCGGGGCCTGGGGCGCGCGGGGGGAGGGCCGCGCGCAGCCGAACCCGGCTCGCGATGGCTCCGCCCCCGCGCTCCCATTGGCTCTTGTGGGATTTGGACGGCGAGCGGCGGCCGGGTTGGCTGCGCACGCCCGTCTGTCCAGGGGCCCGGGGCGGGAGAGCAGGGAGGGGGAGGCTCCGGGCTTCCGTTGGTTAGGTTCGGTTGACGCGTATCGCCCACTGTACGTGGTTTGAGGTTTGCAATCTCTCTACGCCCCATGATCCATCTCTCTAGGCAATAGCGAGGAGTTAGCTGCCCTCCCCGCCCCTCCCCCTGCCGCGGCCCCTACCCCTGCCACCTGTGTGCGCCTCCCGCGGCCTCGGCCCCCCACATTCTCCGAAGGCCCCCACTGGGCGTCCCTTCGGCTTTAGAAAGTAAAATGTGCCGACGCGAGAATAGAAATTGAACGCAAGGTCGGGACTACTTTCCCCTCGCGCGGAGGATTACCGACCGCGGTTTGAATGGGTCTATACAAAGAGGGGAAACTAATTGGAAGAAACTAAGTGCGCCCCCGCCTTTCCCAAGGGGCCTGGGGACGAGCCGGGGCCGGGGCGCCGCGGGGCGGGCAGGCTTCCCAGGTGACAGCCCCCGGGAAGCGCGGTGGGAGCTGCGGCGCGGGGGTGCTCTCCGCTAATTGGGCGGGGGGCGGTTGGAGTCTCCGGAGCTGCCGAGTTGCCGGCGGCCAGGGCCACCCCCGCCCCCGGCCCGGCCCCGGCCCCGGCGGGCCCCGGACGGCCGAGCGTCCCCCAAGGCCGGGTGAAGCCCCGGCGCGGTGACGTGGGCTGGGGGCCAGGAAGGGTGAAGAGGAAGAAGCCGTTTTTCATCCCAAGCCCTTGGTAGGGGAGGGGGGGGTCTACTTCCTCCGAGGCAAGAGCAGCCACTTTTCCGGATCTGTCGCCTGCCCTGCCTCCCCCGCTCCGCCCCCGGCACCCCTGCGAGGGATGGATGCCACGGCGTACCCCGAGGGCCGGGGTCGGCCGAGACCCCGCCTGGGACGCCCCCGGCCCGGGCAGTGTTCGCCGGCCGCCCCGGGACTGCTTTGCGGCCGTATGGGGGGCGGGGGGACCGTGTGCCTCCCCACCCCCACCGACCCCCGAAACAACGCCGCCCCCAAACAACGGGCTGTTCGTAATTAGACCAGGGAAGAGCTGTACATGAAGTCTTTCTTTTACTCCTTTTTTTTTTGAGCAGGGGATGGCTGCTTTTCTTTTAAGTTACTTCAAACCTGAGCTTAATATGGGGACCAGCTCAGGATATAAATAGCTACAAGGGAGAAATCGGGAGTTCTATGGTTTTCGAGCCTGAATAAATAAGCAGGGTTTTCTATAGCACATTTTCTGCAGCATGAACCATCATTATTAACTTCACTGAAGTGGCCACGTTCACTTCTGCCTAAGTGGCCTGTATGAAACAGGGCTCGGAGCCCTACCCTTAGAGAAGCCCTGTCCCCACCGCACCCCCAACTCCCGCCAAGTTCAGGGTCGCAGCTCCTGAACTTCCCGCAGAAGGACCCCGCTGTCCTTGGAGAGCCCAGGCGCAGCAGGTGTGCGCCCCATTCTCCCTGTCGGCTGGTCTGGGCAGTGTACAGGCGGCAGAGGCAAGGGTTGGAACCCGGGTGGCATCTGGGCTGGGCCTCCCGACTGAGGCCTGTGACTCACGCAGAGGTGAGCGCTGTGTGAGGAGGGAGGCTAAGAGCCCTCTGCCTGGCTGGCTTGGTGTCTCCGAGGTTCCCACCAAGGCCAAAGAGGGCAGCGGGGATGGCAGGACACACTGGGTCACCCTGCGCACCCACCAACCCCCCGAGTGGGGGCCCCCTCCATGGCTGGGTTACCAGTATGGGTGCATCAGTGGACCTTCCAGCCATGCACTTTTTTTTTTTCTTCAACAAATATTAACACCTAACAATTGTCAGACTCTATTCTAGTTCCTCTTGGCTGCAGTGCGACACGGGCAGTGCATTGGCCTGCAACCTCTCAGATTTCTCGTCCATAAAAAGCAGGTGATAGCACCTCCCTGCCGGCCCACGGGTTTTTATAGAGTCCATCTCCCCAGCGCCTCTCTGGGTCCACGAGGAAGCTCGCCTGCCTGCAGCTTGGGCGGGTGAGGCCCGCACAGCCCTCGGGCGGGCGGCTGTGGTCCCGCTCCTCGCCTGGCTCTTCCCAGGGCCAGCAGCCTGGCGTGATCTTCGGTGAGACGCCCCGACTCACGCCTTCTCCCCTCGCCTTACTCCTCCCGCAGCCCCTGTGCCCGGCCCCCAGCCTCGAAAGCTGAGGCCGTCGGGCTGCACCTCTCTCCCCTTCCAGGCCCAAACCCACAAACGCAGGCCCGCTCTCCCGGCCTCGGCACCCCGTCACCTCTCCGCCTTCCTGTGCCATCGCCCCCTCTCTGGTGACCCAGGCCGGCTTCTCCCACACAAAGGGGAGACTGCCCCGTGCTCCCCAGCCCTCTCCCGCCTCGGGGCCATCTCCCCACGGCCCCCCCAGGCACGCTCCCCCGCGGGCCTGTCCGCGCCTGCCTGCTCCGCGCCTGCCTGCCCAGTGTCCTCGCCCCACCCAGCAGGGCTGTGTCCCCACGCCTCAGCTCTTGCCAAGGTCACCCGCGGCCTGGCTGCCGCCGTCCAACCTGGGGGTCACTCTGGGTCTCGCTGAGCCTCCCGGCGGCTCGGGGCACGGTGCTCCCCTGGCCTCCTACCTCACAGGCCACTTCCCCTCGGCCTCCTTGGCAGCCTCCACCCCCTTTGCAACCTGCAATTGTTGGGGTTCCTCCCTGGCCTTTCCCCTTCTGCTCGCCTGGTACGTAGTAGGTGCTCATTAAACACTCGCGCGGGGAATGAATGCGCGGACACATGAATGAATGATAGGGGATACAGGCCTCGGTACACAGGGCAGGAGCCAGCCCCAGTGAGCAGAGGGCCCTGGAACAACTGAAACCCAACAGAGACGCTGGACACGTGGGACGAGGAGTCCTGATCTGTCAGCCCAGCATCCTTCCCGAGGTACCTCCTCCCCAGCCTCCTCCTCCTCTGGGGGAGGCAGCTTGCAAGTAGCCACAGCTCCGGGCAGCACGTGACCCAGGCATGGCCAATCAGAGCCCCCGAGCCTCCTGGCTTCCGTGATTGGCTCAGGCACGGGCACGTGACCTAGCCAGGCCCATCCAAACCCTTTCTGAGACTGTTAATGGAAGTCAGGAAAGAATCTCTCTTTTTCTGAGAGCTGGACCTACCTAAGGACCAGGAAGAGCTAGACCGTCTAGGGCAGGGCCCCTACTGGGGTGAGGCAGGCCAGGTGCCCGGGGCGCCTGAGGGGAGGCCTTCCTTCCATTTTGCACCCTGGACACCTGTCCCTTGGAGCCCTGCCCCCGCCAGTGTGTGGGAAAAGGCGGGTTGAGTCCGGGAGAGGGAAGCCGGGAACTGACAGGCTGCTTTGAACTTCCCCACCCCATAGACCAAGCCTGAAATCCTGGCCTTTCGAATCGATCAATTTTAGAAAGAGTCCTGAGTGATACAAATAACTAGGCATTTACCTGGCAAAGAACAGGGGAAAGAACATTCCCTCCTGAGGGAAAGGCCTAATAATAGCTAAATATCTGTAACTATGCCTGGTGCTGCTCTCAGCACTGAAACCATGAGCTCTTTTAATCCCCTCAGGTAAACACTGTCATCACCATGTCATCCCCACCCTGGAGATGAGGAAACTGAGGCACCTAGAGGTGAAGTCATCTGCCTGGAGTCTTGCACCTGGGGGGTTGGAGGGAGAGCACGTCTAAGCCACAGGGCCATGCAGCCTCCTGCTCAGGGCCAGAGCTGCTCCAGGAATGCTGGGAGGCTGAGGGCCAAGGACCTGTACAAACTGCCTTGTCTGATTTCTAAACATACAGCCTTTATAATTCTTACTGCTGTGATTATGTTTATTACCATTATATATACATATATATATATATATATATATATATATTTTTTTTTTTTTTTTTTTTTTTTTTTGAGACAGAGTATCACTTTGTTGCCCAGGCTAGAGTCAGCCTAGCTCACAGCAACCTGAAACTCCTGGGCTCAAGCAATCCTCCTGCCTCGGCCTCCTGAGAAGCTGAGACTACAAGCATGCACCACCATGCCCAGATAATTTTGTGTGTGTATATATATATATATATATTTTTTTTTTTTTTTTTTTCTTTTGAGACAGTCTCTCACTCTGTTGCCCGGCCCAGAGTGCCATGGCATCAGCCTAGCTGACAGAAACCTCAAATTCCTGGGCTCAAGCAATCCTCCTGCCTCGGCCTCCCAAGTAGCTGGGACTACAGGCATGCGCCACCATGCCCGGCTAATATTTTCTATATATTTTTAGTTGGTCAATTAATTTCTTTATATTTTTAGTAGAGATGGGGTCTCACTTGCTCGGCTGGTTTTGAACTCCTGACCTCAAGTGATCCTCCCGCCTAGGCCTCCCAGAGTGCTAGCATTACAGGCATGAGCCACCATGCCCAGCCTGTATATATTTTTAATTATCCAGCTAATTTCTTTCTATTTTTTTAGTAAAGACGGGGTTTCTCTCTTGCTCAGGCTGGTCTCGAACTCCTGAGCTCAAATGATCCACCCGCCTCGGCCTCCCAGAGTACTAGGATTACAGCTGTGAGCCACCATGCTGGGCCTTCTATATATATATTTTTTGAGAGCTAGGCTGGAGTTGAGTGGTATGATCAATGTTCAAGGTAACCTCAAACTCCTGTCTCAGCCTCCCACGCCTGGCTCATTTTTTTGTATGTTTAGAGATGGGGGGAAGGTCTCACAATGTTGCCCAGGATGGTCTTGAACTCCTGACCTCAAGTAATTCTTCCTCCTTTGCCTCCTAAAGTGTTGGGATTATATGCATGAGCCACTGCACCCAGCCATATTAGATAGCTTATTAGAAAATTCTGCTCGGTGGCCAGGCATGGTGGCTCATGCTTGTA